AGATAACGGTCGAATGACCGAGGGGTAACGATCGGATGACCGAACGAGTAACGATCGAATGATCGAGTAGATAACGGTCGAATGACCGAGGGGTAGCGATCGGATAACCGAACGAATAGCGATTGAATGCTCAAGCAGGTAACAGTCGAATGACTGAGGAGGTAACGATCGGATTGACCGAACGAGTAACGATCGAATGATCGAGCAGGTAACGATCGGATGACCGAACGGGTAACGATCAAATGATCGAGTAGGTAACGGTCGAATGACCGAGGGGGTAACGATCGGATTGACCGAACGAGTAACGATCGAATGACCGAGCCAGTTGAGTAGCTGTCAAACGACTGAACAAGTTGAGTAACTACGGTCAAATGACCGAGCAAGTTGAGCAGCAATGGTTGTATAACCAAGCTAGTTGAGCAGAAATGGTTCTATAACCGAGCAAGAAATGGTTTTTTGAACCAAGCAACCAATAAATGTTTTTTTTTTTTTTTAATCGAATGAAAAATGGTTTTTGAACCAAGTAAGAAACGGTTTTTGAACCGAGTAGAAATGGCTTTTGAACCACACTAGAAACGGTTTTATAACCGAGTAAGAAATGGTTTTTGAACCAAGTAAGAAACGGTTTTTTAACCGAGTGAGAAAAATGGTTTTTTAACCAATGCAAGAAACATTTTTTTTTTTTTTTAACTGAATGAGAAAATGGTTTTTTAACAATGAAGAGAGGTTAAGAAACTTCCCTGAACATATTGGATGTCCTTGCTCGGCAAGAGTCAAGTGTCCTATGTGTTGTGCATCCATTAATAGGCTTGATGACATGTTTTGCATAAAGTTGAATGACTTGAGAACGTCTCTAGTTCACTGGGGAAAATTCTCAAATCATTACAAGATAGGATAAGCACCATGACCGTTGAATCAAGCTTTTGCTTTTCTCTGCAACTCTTTTTTTATTTTTTTATTTTTTTATTTTATCATCTTTTTTTTGTCAAGAGATTTCAGCAATTATATTAACTGAAATAAAGCGCCATAACCAATTAGTCCCAATCTAAACAAGGAAAAGAAGGCTAGGTCATGGACAATATGTATGGATAGAAAGAGAATAAACATGATTTTTGAATTGCACAACTTTTGATGCAACAATTTTAACAAAGCTGGAAAGCATTCAGGCTATAAAGTATTTGCTTCAAGAATTTATTTCTTTGCAACTCCACCAATCCAGTCTTTAGCATATGAGACAATGTCTACTTCCATGCTAAGGTGGACAAATCAAATCTATCTCCTTCCCATGAACTAACCTTCAATGTTTAGAAAACCGATCATAAACCATCAAGCTAACTGACTTGGACTCGCTAGAGAAAGGAATTTTTTTTTTTTTTTAATGTTCCTTGACAGAGAAAGTTTCAAGCCCTCAAATAAGGACTTTATACGCTTGTAATGTGGCTAGGGGTTAGGCTATTATGAAAGAAAGTGTAAAGGCTCAAAATCAATTCTTCCATATATTCCCCTCACATTTCTCTCTTCACAACCCCGGTCATTAATGTGGGTTAACAAGAAGAAAATCATCTTGGCTTTTCTAAATTTAGATGATTGCCTTTTTCTAGCACAAAAAGGGTAAGCAAAGGACAATGTTAACTGTTTGGGATAGAGAAACAATGCCTTTCATCATTGGATCTTCAA